CCCTGGGTTTGTTAACGCCAATTCCTACACACACACACACCCTCCTCCTCTCCCAGTCCCTCTGGAACCATCGGTCCTATTGTTTTCTCCTCTGGATTGTTTATCCTGCCTATCTTATCTAGATAGACATGCAGAGACAATAATAAGCACAAAAACAAGACAGAGAAAAACAAAACAACAACAGCAAAAAGAAAAGCCTATAAATAGTTCCAAGTCTGTTGGTTGACCTTTAGGAGTGTTTTCTGGTTGAGTCTGATGAGGTGCCACGCCCTGGCTTCAAAGTCTATTTTTGGTATTCCCCAGGGACTTCTTTGCTTTGCTCTCCTTCCTGTTCTGTTGCATGCCCTTAGTGTTTCTCGGCCCATGTGGTGGGGTCAGATCAGGCACAGTTCCCACACTGTGCCTCCAGTGTTGTCCCTCCTAATGATATGGGTCAGTGAGGGATGTCATGTCTCATAGAGGGGCCGGCTCTATGTTCCTCTCTGTGGATTGCCTGCTCTGAGCAGGAATATCATCCTTGGGGCTTGGTATAGCTCTTTTTTAAAAAAGAAGTCCTTTAGTCATCCATTCTTATGTAGGCTGGTATCACCCTTCATTCAAATGAATGTTTTACTTTCTTTCTGAATAAACCCTCTTAATTTCATTTGAAGGACTGTGTGGGTTGTTTTGTTGTTTTTGCTAAAACAAATGCTTCTAAAGTTGAAGCATCATGTTTAAACTGCCTTTAAAATAAACTTTGGGATGTGATCTTTTTTTTTTTTTTAACATTTTATTAGAGGCTCATACAACTGTTATCACAATCCATACACACATCAATTGTGTAAAGTGCATTTGTACATCATTCTCAAAACATTTTCTCTCCACCCAAACCCCCGACATTAGGTCCCCATTTTTCCCCTCCCTCACCGCTCCCCCCTCCCTCATGAGCCCTTGATAGTTTATAAATTGGTATTTTGTCATATCTTGCCCTGTCCGACGTCTCCCTTCACCCACTTTTCGGGATGTGATATTTTTATGCATTGAAATTTCATTCTACCACTTGTGAAAGTGCCTCTCTTTCTTTACTCACTATATCCTCCTACTTCCAGTTAGTTGAAAGTGTGTATAAAGTATGCATTATCTATTATGAGCAGTACTCTTTTCTTCCCTCCCAGCTAATACCACCCTAGAAGTTCTCTTTCACACTAGCACCCCAAACCAATTAAAAAAATATATATATTAATAAACCCGTTGCCCTGGAGTTCATTGTGACTCATATCAGTCCTGTACGTCAGAGCAGAAAGGTGGTCGGAGGTGTTCAGGGACATCGATTGCACAGACGCAGACTGCCCGTCTTGGTGGGGGTTATCACTGCTGACCTCTGGCTGGCAAGTGAGCACTTTAACCACTGTGCCACTATGTTCCTCACTGAGGCCCAAGGACTGATCATTATGGCTACTCTACTGGGAGGTTGTTTTAAGCCGAAACCAAAAAAACAAAATGTGGGGGAAAGGCCAGCCCCCCCCCAACTAATCATGGATTCGATAGGTGCAATTGGATGGTTGAGATACATAAAGATTATAATAAAGCTATAGAGAGCATGAGAGATAGAAGATATTGAAATAATGGAGTCCGATACATTTCATAGTTGCATGCTCACTTCCTGGATAGCCATGATCTTACCAGCCAGGTCCGCATTTATTGCTAACCAAGGCTTAGCTCTACTTAGGGGGGGGCGTGATTATAGGTAACCACACGTCACAGGAAAGGGCTGTATGATAGGCATACGTGTGACAGGAAGGGGATGAACTAGGGGTATACACATGATAGGAAGGGGAGGGACTAGAGGTATATATGTGACAAGAGGGGCGGACCCCAGACTCATGATGGCAGCCTAACCTTGGTCACCCTTGAGTGAGTTAGACCTCCCTGGGCTCTCCTGCAGGGAAACAATCTACTACTATCCTTATCAGAAGGGAGTGGGCCCTACTTGTTGTGGGATAAACAGTGGTGTCTGCTTGCTCTGGATGGCTGATAACCCCTAGGGAGAATAACCCCTGACCTACTACTGTTGACCTCCAAGTGTACAGTCATTTGCCACGTGTAGCAAGCAGCTAAGTTTGGGATATATTTGGGGGAGACAACTTGGGAGAAATCTTTCTGTTTCCCACAACCAAAAGGACCCAAACTCACTGCCATTGGGTCAATTCCAACTGATGGCGACCCTATAGGAAAGGGGAGAACTGCCCCTATAGGTTACCTAGACTGCAACTCTTTACAGGAGAAGAGAGTCTTGTCTTTCTCCTACAGAACAGCTGGAGTTTCAAACTGCTGATCTTGCCAATTGCAGCCCAAGGGCAAACAATTCACCACCAGGGTCCCTCTCATCTAGTAACATCTAGAAGTTCCCTTTCACACTAAGAGCTAAACCAGAACAGCACACTTGCTGCCACGGGGTCAGTTGCCATTTATAGCAAAGCTGTCAGTCTGTGTAGAACTATCTTATGATGTTTTCAAGGTTATAATTATTTTCAGAATCAGGCCACCACATCATTCAATCTATGACCAAACTACCAATCCAGGTCCACAAGTTAAAAGAGATACTTTAAAAAAAAAAAAAAGATGTATATATTTAATATTCTACTAGGCCAATATGAGAAAAACAAATACATACATTTGTTTAATAGATCATTTGTTGTAGCCTACTGTCTGTTCCCAGAAAGAAAATAACCCAGACCACCGGCAAGTTCAAAAGAAAACGTTTTATTTCCTGCGCAGGGACCATCAGCCCTCTTGAGAGGAAACTGAGCGATGGCCTGTCTAATTTTTCAAAGGTTTTTAGGCTTTTGCAATGTACAGGTATGCAAGCAAGCAGAGTGCAGAAGTGGGATATTGCGGTTAGCCATTCTTAGTTGGACAATACTGCTCTTAGTCGAACAATAACTGCTCTTAGTTCTTGTAAGCCTTCTGAACATCCATTTCCTTCTGTACAGTCCGTTGCACTAAGTCTGCACAGCCTACCTCCCCAATATCAGCTAGTTCATTTACAGTTCATAATGGCTTCTGTCAGCTCAAAATGGCTTCACTCTTGTCAAGGCTGTTTAAGCTTTTCTTAGAGCTACTACACATTCCCAAAGGTGGGTTCAGTTCCAGGTTTAAGAGTTTCTAAGAGCCATGGTTTCTGGGTTTCCACTAGTCTCTACACACCAGTAGGTCTAGTCTTTTTTATTAATTTGAATTTTGTTCTACTTTTTCTCCTCCTTCTGTTCAGGGATTTTGATTGTGTCCCTAATGAGAATGGTCACTAATGGTAGCCATGGACCATTCTAGCTTAAATATGAATAAAAACTATGTCGTTCTAAAACTCTGAAAATTACTCAGGCTTCCACTAAGTTAAAGGTCTTTAAAATTCAACATCAGAAAAAAAGGCATTTCTATGTTTTAGGATGCATATAAGCTATTTATATACTTTCAATGGATAGAGTTTTAGAGCATAAATTGCAAAGTGGTAACTCCTTTAAATCTTTATTGAGAAGATCAAGATTTAAAGGAATTACAACTACCCTGTATCTCTGTTCCCTCTCCAACCAGAGCCTATCAGAATTTTAATTTCAATTTCTCTCTTCTAAAATTTTACTTTTATTAAACTAATATCCTTGATAAATGGAACCTTGTCTCAATGATAAATTGGACTATATAATTTGACTGTGATGATCTATAAAAACAGCAATCTCATATGGTTAAACTTAGTACTGCATGATACCACCTGTGGTAGTTAGATTTTATGTCAACTTGAATTTGTATGAAAATGTAGAGATGGAGTCTAACCTATTAATCAGGTCACAGCTCAATGGTGCCTCCTGAGAAGTGTGACCTTTTTATAAGAGAAATACTGGTGACCCCTCCCTTCTCTCTTTGCCCCATTCACCTTCCTGCCTGCTGGGACTCTGTGCCCATTTCCAGGGGCAGCCCCAAGCGGCTCTCTCGACCCTAAGAATTGTAGGCCCCCTGCCATGTCTCCATGAATCCTCCATGACCTTGAATCCACATGACGGCACCCACCAGTCTATGGTCTTCCTGCGGTCTGCAGCTATGTGAATAGGAAGAGGGCTCCAGCTAACATAGGACCCATGGACTTCAGTTGGACTGAGTTGGGACGCCATCGTGATATAAGATTACTTCTTGATATAAAGCTTTTTCTTATACATATATGAATGTTCCTGGTTTTGTTTCTCTAGACATCCCAACCTAACATACCACCTTATATCATCACTTAGTGTGTTACTTTTGCTTGTGAGATGTTCTCAACTCACCTATCATATGTGTTTCTATGACATTTCTTGGAAGAGCACTGGTGGTAGAAAGCATTCTAAACCTACTAAAGGGACAAAATACTGGACAATCCGCTCCTTAAAAGTTTACAGCCTAAGCAATCCCGTGAGGGAGTTCTGTTCTGTCCTGCAGAAGTCATTCTGAGTGAGAATAAACTCAACAACCCACAACATAAGGCTTTCTACTCTGTTGTGATGCTTTCGATAATGTCTTCACAATGCTTTTAAGTATCTTTGTAAAAGATCACTATGGTTGGAATCGATTGGACAGCAATGAGCATGGTTACGTATAAATCACTAATAATGCCAAGTTAGAAAAAAGAGATTCTGAACTTAAATATAAGAACATATATACTATCAAATTTCTGAGGGTTTTTTTTTTCAACAAGTGTTGAGTGTCTTATGTAAAGTGCGAGTAAAACATACTGTGTTTTGCTATGACTCAGTGGCAGTAGATTCAATTTTGACCATGAAGCCCTGAAAGGGGAAACTTATGGTTCCAACAGACATCATTTTGTGCTTGCATACTATGTATCTGGGATCAACTAGCTTCTATTCTTCTTTTTTTTTTTTAAACAGGGGAGAGTACAAACGCAGTCCCCCATGACCACAAAGTATGCAGTCGAGTTTCCCACATCATCCGGAGTGCAATGGATAAGCCTCGCCCCGGGGAAAACCACCTTCGTGATCATGGTATGTCCCCTACCAGGTAAGTATTTGCTTTTATTCTTGGTGCTACTCATGGGAGCTATTTGACTTGAGGAAAAGTGCTTAATTTCTTGGCACCTAAATTTCTTTATCTTGCTAAATGAAAAAAAAAAAAGGACTGTTGATAGGATTAAATCAAATAATGCACCGAGGAACTTTAGAACTGTGCCTGGCACACGGTAAGGCTTCAGTCAATGCTTTACACTCGTACTAAGTGCCGTGCATTCTATGCTGTCGTTAAACCTGCCACCCAGTTGGTTCTGACTCATGGTAATCTCAGGTGTGTATAATAGAACTACTCTGTAAGGTTGTCAAGATTGCAAATTGCCAAAACTGTCTTCCAAGGCACCTCTGGGTGGGGTCTGAGGCTCCACTGTGCATAGTTTTGGCTAGTTGAGCACCAACCCATGGGCTGTCTAGTCCCATTTTCATTAAGTCAATTCTGACTCATACTAAACCTGCAGGACAGAACAGAACTGCTCTTAGGACAGCCAAGATTATAAATCCTTAGGAGCGCAGATAGCTTCATCTTTGTCCTGCAGAGCAGCTGGGAGTTTTAACTATTAACCTTGGGTTCGCAGTCCAATGCTCAACTCACTATACCACAAGAACTTCTCATGGACTATGTAGTAGGCTGGAAATTACACATGTGCTGTAAACGGCAGTTTGAGCATAAGCTGCATGCCCTCTGGATTGGACGGCGTGTCCACTGGGCTGGTGGCCAGGTATAAAAAGGTAGACAGGAACCTCCTGAAAATTCTTTTCTTCGTCCCGCTCCCCATTTGTTTAAAACGAACTTGTCTATCCCTAAGAATCCAAGTCCACGTTAGTTTTACTCTTCCTCCTTTTACAGTCACCTAGTCCAATGTTTACAGATGAGGAGTAAGGAATTTGGAGGGTTTTTAAGGCTGGGAGGCTTCACTCTTTGCTTCAACGCCCCCCCCCCCCATATATGTCGTTGGGTACTCCCCACCCCCAGCCCACCCTCCCTGTCTCTATCATTTTGTATGCCTCCCCTTTCACTGCTTCTGCCTTAGTCCCTGGCATCATCGGGATTTTCAAAGCCCTACCCTTTGGTGTGAAAATCATTTTTCTTCTTTGTTTTTCCTTAAAATAATGGTATCATTAAATATTTATCTTTATAAAACTGACTATCTTTGCTAAGCATACTCTTCTTTATTTTGCCCTTGTTTTGCAGGGCTTGACAGAATCGTTATTGTTTTTCATTGGTGCATAGCATTCCATTGTATGAATATACCTGAGTTTGTTTATACATTCCTCTACAAATGGAGTTTGGGGTTGTTTCCATCTTTTTGCTATTATGGAAATTGCTGCAGTAAACAAGTATACATAGGTCTGGAAATTGTTGCAGTAAACAAGTATACATAGGTCTGTACTCTATTTATTTAAGGTATACACCCAGTAGATAGATTGCAGGATGATAAAGTAAATTATATTTACATTTGTTTAAGGAAGCACAATACTGATGTCCATAATGGTTGCACAATTCCACAGTTCCACCAGCAATGGATGAGCATTCTCATCTCTCCATGTCCTTTCCAGCATTTATTATTTTCAGTGTGAGGTATGGTTGCTAATTGTTGTTTTAATTTTTATTTATTTTACTGTTAATAAATATGAATATTTATTCATATGATTGTTGTTCACCTGGATGTCATCTTTAGTAAATTGTCTATTCATGTCTTGTGGCAATTTTTTATTAAATTACTTTTATTTTTCCTATTAATTCTATAGCTTTCCTATAATTTTATAGATCTTTGAAATTAGCCCTTTAAATGATGTATCTTTTCCCCATTCTATGGGAAATCTATTCCAAATATTTTTTCCCAATCTATGGGTTCTCTCTTTTAATTCTTTTGAGGAAGTCTTATGATGTGAATAAATGTCATGTTTTTAGATGGTCCCAGTCCTTTATTTTGTCTTCTATAATGTGATTATTTTTCTTGTTTGATATTCATGCCTTGTATCAGCACTCTTACGTTTTCCATATTTTTTGTTGATGGTCTTTATGGTTCTAGGGTTTATATTTAGATCTTTGATCCATCTTGAGTTTGTTTTTCTACACGGTGTGAGATATAGGTCCTGTTTCATTCTTTTGCAAGTAGAGCTCCAATGTTTCAGTATCATTTATTGAAAAGGTTTCTCTCCCCTTTAATGTGTTTTAGTCCTTTATCAAAAATCAGGTGTCTATCGGTACTTGATTGTATTTCTGGGTTCTCAATTCTAATCTATTGGTCTTCATGTCTATCATGATACCAGTACCAAACTTGTTTTGATTATCATGACTATATAATAAGTTTTAAACTCTGGGAGTGAAAGGCCTTTTACTTTGTTTTTTGCTGTTTGTTTTAAATAGGGTTTTATATATCCTGGGTTCCTTTCCTTTCCATATAAAGTTGGTGATTAGATTTTCAAGTTCTTTGGAGAATTATGCTGTGATTTGGATCAGAATTGCATTAGATTTGGAAAGTGTTTTTGATAATATTGACATTTTCACTATATTTAACCTACCTATCCAGAAGCATGAGGTATTATTCAATTTGCATAAGCCTCTCAGTTTTATTTAGGAGTGTTTTATAGTTTTCCTTGGATAAGTCTTCTGTTTTTCTAGTAAGATTGATTTCTAGATATTTTATCTTTTGGATAGCTATTGTAAATGGTATTGTTCTTTTAATTTCCTTTTGGGTGCCATCTTCTTCAGTATACACGAATCCAACTGATTTCTGTATGTGACCCTATAGCTTGCTACACTGACAGATTTTTCAATTAGTTCCAGTAATTTTGAATGGAATCTTTAAGGTTTCCTATCTATTAGATTATATCATCTGCAAATAAAGAAATCTTTATTTCTTCTAGGTCAATGTGGATGCCTACAATATCATTGTGGCATCTTACAACTCTAGCTAAGACCCCTACGACTATATAAAATAAGAGCCATGACCAAGGGCAACCCTGCCTAGTTCCTGCTGGAGGGGAATGTTTTCAATTTCTCTCCATTAAGTGAGATATTGGCCATTGCTTTTGCACATATGGTCTATACCATGTGGAGGAATTTCCTTCTTACTCTTTTTTTTAAAGTGTTTTTATCAGTAAAAGCATTTATCAAATGCCTGTTCTGTATTGATTGATATAATCATATGGTTGTTGTCTTTCCAGTAGAGAGACTTGTGGGTATGAACTGCTTACCTTGCAGGTAGCAGCCCAATGTAGGACCCACTCTGCCACCAGGGCTCCTTTGATGGTGGTTGTCTTTCATTGTGTTAGTGTGATGGTTTATATTGGTTTTCTAATATTAAATCATCCTTGAAAAACTTCCCGCCTTTCCTAGTGGTAGAGAATTAAGAAAGACAAGTTTAGTCCAAGGAAAAGAAGTTAGAGTTAGAAATGAGGTTAGCAAGACCTAGTATTCAGAATACCTGATTGAGACCATCTCTAACTTCAATACGATTAAATTAAAAACAAAAAATAACAAAATTTATTTGAAAAATCAAAAATACATTATCAGATAACTCATAGACCTAAACAGAAATCATGATAGAAATTAAGGCATACTTAAATTGAGCAATAATGAAAATACAAACTACTAAAACTTGTGGATGAATCTGAAGCAACACACAGGGTGGAGAATGTACAGCTCTCAGGTCTTTTTCACTGCCCCTCCACTTTACCAAGCATGATGTCCTTCTGCAGGGACTGGTCTCCCCGACATGTCCAAAGTGTGTCAGATGAAGTCTCCATCCTTGCCTCGAAGGAGTATTCTAGCTATATTTGTTCCAAGAGAGATTTTTTTGTTCTTTTGGCAGTAAATGGTACTTTTAATACCCTTTGTCAGCACCATCATTCCAATGCATCTTTCTTCTTTCCATTCTTTATTCAGTGTCCAACTTTCACATGTATGAGACAATTGAAAATACCACGGCTTGGGTCAGGCACATCTTAATCCTCAAAGTAACATCCTTGCTTTTCCACACTTTAAAGAGCACTTGGGCAGCAGATTTACTCAAGGCAGTGCATTTTTTGATCTTTTGACTGCTGCTTCCATGAGCATTGATTGTGAATGCAAGACAAAGTTCTTGACAACCTGTCTTTTCTCCATTTACCATGATGTTGCCTATGTTCTTCTTAACATTGAATTGTAATCAATACTGAAGGCTACAATCCTTAATCTTCATCAGCAAGTGCTTCAATTCCTCCTCAAGAAGTAATTATGTAAACATCCCAGCCCAGTCCAACTCAAGTCCATAAGTCCAATACTAATCCATAAGTCCATCTTCAGACTCACACAGCCACATACAATGATGCAGAATACAGGAAGATCCCAGGCTGGTGTGTGCAAAGTCATGTGAATCCAAGGTCAACAGAAAACATGATAGGGTTCCAGCAGCTCTCAGGGTGACCAGCAAGCAGGACAGTGAAGATAGAGAGAGGGTGGGGTGGGGAGAGGTTCCCTGGCAGTCCTTATGAGAAGGCCACACCTCCAAAAGGAGGTGTCATCAGGCTGTGACCCAATTGACAGGTTGAATACCATCCCTACACTTCTTTTTTAATCACTTTATTGGGGGCTCGTACAATTCTCATCACAATCCATACATGCATCCATTTGTATATTTGTTGCCATCATCATTCTCAAAACATTTGCTTTCTGCTTGAGCCCTTGATATCAGCTCGTCATTTCCCCCCCTCCCTTCCCCACTGCGCCCTCCTTCATGAACCCTTGATAATTTATAAATTATTATTATTTTGTCATGTCTTACACTGTCCGACGTCTCCCTTCACCCACTTCTCTGTTGTCCATCCCCCAGAGAGGAGGTTCTATGTAGATCCTTTCCACCCCACCCTCCCTGCACCCTTTCCCTACACTTCTATATATCTTCAAGTTGAAATAAGATTATGTAATTACCACATGACTGTTGGGAAAATACAATTAAAACATCTATTCCCATTCCAGAGAACTTCACAAAAGTACAAAGAAAGAAAAGT